AGTCAACCTACTGAAAAGTAGTAGCGCACGCAACTTACAAACTATACCTGTTATGTGTGTATACGCGTATATATGTATATACACACATAACCGTACGCACGCCGCATGAATTGACTGGCCGGCGAACGAAATTCGGTAGAGTCGATTATCGTACTCTACTCGTAATTCGGCCAAGCCTTGAGGACGTACAACTGAAATTTTCAGTATATAAAATTTTGTTTCTAAATGCCTCAAGGCCAAGCTCAGAGCTTATAAGTATAGCGCGGCGTATATACTTTGCTGCGTATATACTACTTTGCGCGGCCTGACTCTCGCGCGTAAACAAAGGGGGGAAGGCGCGCACGTTGTTGTTGTCCGCGCCGAGTTTCGAATTCCATAGGCGCTGGAATTCTCGAAAAACGTCCGCGCTCTCGAAGATTTCCTCTCGTCGCACTATTTGCCACACAAAGAAAAATTGCCAAATCAGAGGTTGGGCGCCAATATAACGGGGTTTTGGCTAACCCGCCGTTACAATCGAGAGGATAGTTGACAGCTCGGCTTAATAAATAGCTAATGCCACAAGGCTTGTGCACTGGCATATGCGAGGCCAAGCCTTTTAACCAGCCACGATATCAAGTAGCCTCGTGGCCCGCGTAGAGCGTCGCAGGTAGCAGTGGCTGGAAAAGTAGTGACGAGCGCAGAGAATTCGCCAAGGAGTGGGAATGAGAGTCGGGCGCAAAGTCAAAGAAATGCAGAGGATAAGAAGGATAAGAATAATTTATATAAAGCTTCAAAGAGAAAGCGTACATTGGTAGCGTGCATAGATCGACAGTGTGTGTGTGAAGTTTCGCCATCGAGGGCGAAACCACATGTGCGCGAATCCGCGGCACAAAAATAAACAGTTTTCTCGCAGTGCGACTCATTATTGTCCACTTCGTACGTCTGCAATATAAAGGTAAGTTGACCAGCTTAGTTTCGCGGTCGCGATACGATTGCTGCTCGGTTAATTATTCGTCCGAAGCGTGCATGCAGTAGCTCTACGAACAAAGAGCAGCGAGCGTCCCGACACTGCATGTTGTCGTTGAGCGAGCGCCGACGTCAACATAAACACGCGGGCCGATCTAATGTAGCATTTGATAGATAATAAAAGGTTCTGTAAAATTTTTTTTGACTATAATAGGCACAACAAACAGAAATGCTATTGAAAGAAATTGGGGTTGCAACCCTCATTTATAGAACTATATGCGTAAGTTGTGTATTTATATTAGGAGTAGTACACAATTCAATTCATGATAAATTATCACATAGAAGTTGAAATATATCGTAAAATAGATTTTGGGGTGGTTTTTTCATTTTGAGAGAGGTTTATAAAATAATCACGAACAGGTCAAATTTATTTTAGCATTTTATCCATGATAATATTTTTTCCAATTTTTTGTTCGGTTAATTAAGTTTTTTTTTATAATAATAGTCATGAAAAAGGTTGAATTTTCATTAAAAAATATGGATTACATCTGTTATGGTCGAAACTGCATGTATTAGTTCCATATTTACGTTAGCAGTCAAATGAAATTTGTTTGATCGTAAAATATCAATTATAACCTCAGATATATTGCAAAATACTTTATTGGGAGTGTACTTTGAGGGCAGTATTCACTCTCTAAAAGTTTTTTTTCACAGATAAAAAAAAACGTACTTATTTTTGTATTATTTTAATATATTAAAAGATTATTCAAATCGGTTATTTTAAGTCAGGGGGAGGGAGTTTCCTTGTGAATAAGTCCAATTTTAATTTAGGATTGTCTGATCATGACATATCTAGGAATATTTTCACATGCTTTACAATACCATTGAAAATTCAAATTTTTTCTATTTCAAATTATGATATCTCAGCTTGGAAAAATCTGTTTAAAATAACTGGTAGTTCTTAAAGTAAAAAACTTGCTCTTTGCTAGTCTTTCTTCAAATTAGCAATGAAATGAAAATTTGCAATGTCAGAAAAGCTCCATAACAGCAGAAACAGGGTTTTTCGCACTTTTAAGTTAGGTTATCTAAAAAATCTAGGGTATTGCAGAAATTCTAAGCTATATTCGAATTCAGCAGATCACATTTTTTTAAGTAGACTAGATCTGGTCGCTGGGTCTGAAAATGATTATTTGTGGTGCTCAAAGAAATATTATTGCCGTCTAAGGTACCTGGTTTCTAGGCGTTGCCTTCATTAATCAATTTGTCAACTTTAGTGTCACACTGAATAGTAAATTGTTATGGAAACAATACCATGATCAGGTCAGAAGACAGGTAAATAAGTCGCTATATAGTTTGTGCTTTATTAGACCTTGTACCTCAGTGACGTTGCGCAGAAGACTGTTAGTCTTTAATCCAGCCGCATTTGAATTATCGTCTAACTATTGCACTAATTATAGTATTTTCGAATGTGTATCAGAAGCAACAGGTTTGAATATAAGTACTCAGCAACATTTGAATTCAATATATTTTTAGAGCTAGAAGGGATCAACACATCATTCTCTGCAGGAAGCAGCTGAGTTAACTCCATATTGATTCTCGCAAGAGCTATTCTACTGTCATTCTACTGGAGGAACGATCAGAGCTCAATATTTCCAAGATAAGAACTGAGACTGATTCTAGATCCTTCCAGATCTCTGATGCTTGCCTATGGAAATCCTTTCCGTTCTCTCTTTGAAATTCGCCTTTGCTCGCTGCCTTCAGAGATGGTGGACGTAGATACTTTCTTGTCCTCGACCCTTACGTCTGTCTTGTAAGCATGACTTCTTTTCTTTAATTTTCTTTGATTTTGTTGCATGTTAAGTGCGTACTTGTCTATTTTGTAATTTATACTGTTAATGACTACATTACTAATCTCTTTCTAAAGTAAAATAAACTTTACTAATCTTTATGAACTGCGATTAAAATATCTAGTCACAATTTCTCTATTTATAGGTTTAACGTTTCTTCATGAAAACATAAATATTGTGGATTCCTTATCAGATAAAGATTACATCATTGTTTTCAAAATGTTGATAACACGTTTAATAAAGTATTTATGGATGTTTAAACAATTAAATTGTTAATAACTGATTATCTCTTATATTGTTGTTATGCGACTCTCGAAATCTATTCAACGGGTCTAAATATATAAAAAGTTAAGTGAGGCTCGTTACCCCCATCGGCCATGGGATTCCCGTTTTCTAGAATTTACGTGCACCAGCGTACTGGCGCGCGACGGCGATCGCAGTTTCGCATTTTGTCGTTAACTAAAAAAGGCTATCATTCAGCAACAGTTTGTCGTACATCTATAGATGGGAGCTTTAAGAGATTTGTATCATGAACAGAAATAATAATAGTTGATTGATTCAACTATATTTTTAGATTCTAGTTGCTTAAAGGGCTTCAAACGATTGACTTCAGCATTTTCCAATGAAATTTCGTCTTTCAATCGTTATCAAACGCTTCAAAACTATTAAAATTACACATACAAGGTTTTATCTTAAAACGATAGGAAATATATTCAAAATAAATTATTCAACGTTTCATTACCTTTAATACAAACCGACATATGATCGATCAAAATATGAAAATAAACAAAGTTTCCGAGAGGAGATCGAAGGTACAGGACCGCCCACTTTCCTTTTTCCCTCCCGTTGTGTCGGAACTAACATGACCGCTATCGTAAAATAAAAAATTATACACTTATTTAGTGTCGGCATCCGCTGGAGATAGACATGCTGCCAATCATCCTTCATGATCCCTTGTATAGTGCAATACGAACACAGCACATCTAACACCTCCAAGACTTGCCGCGAAACAGATAGCAAGCTATCTGTCGGACCCGTGGTGAAATCTATGACGATAGGGTCATAAAGGCGATCGTATTGTTGTTGTCGACCTCCATCATGATTCCTAACCACGACATTACCCGGTTTTCTTAACCTTCGCACGGTGTTTTCGATGGTCCGAGGATTAGGATGGTGTGCTCTGAGCAGGTAAAACTCAGTGTGCCGTCAAGCAGTCGCGTTATCTTCAGTTCGGCCTAAGCACACCATATCAGTACACTTATTGCGCAATATGCAATAATTATATGTGTAATTGCATTATATTACATTTGTATTTTTGAATAATTTATATTCATATTATTATTGATATTTCACCATACTCGCGTAATATCAATATGCACTGACATAACGGCTGCTAGCAAGGATTGATCACCACTATCACTAGTGATTACTATGCGCACGTCAACTAACATTCAATCGTGATTATCTAATGACACTAAACTCTTCATATGTTTCAGAATCGACCAATATATCAGATTAATTTTCACACAACGTTACTATTTTAGACTACATCATTAATTAAACATTTTTACGATAATTTATACCCAAAATTAATACATTTTCATGTCTACCTTTATACATTCTCTCTTACCTTTAGCAACTGCAATTATGTATTACAATCTTTGAGCAATGTTATTGTAAGAAGACAAGTTCAAGAAAAACCGTTGTGTAATAAAAAATTTAAAATAAATTTATGCTAAAAGAGAACGATTTTATGTTGTCATCTTGTAAGTCTTGTCTTTCTTACTCAACAATTTTGGTAAATGAGAAGTTTTCGACATAGCAAGGATTATTTATATGTAATATTTGGAGGAAATGAGACTTCTCAGCGAATCGAAGACCGTACTTAGAATTGTCTTGGTAACTTCTAATAATATTATCACATCATTTATGAATAAGGTAATTTACTTTAGAGATTTCTATTTCAAAGTCATAAAAATGCGCTTGATGATATTATTGTTAAATAAATCACGATTTAATGTGTAAAAGGCATATCGACAATTGTAGATGAGTGTGAGTAGGATATAAAGGAGCTAAGTTGCAAAAACTTGTGGAGGATCATAGGTAAATTCGATAGCTTTGGTTTTGTAATGTTGATGAAATTTCATAATAGAATGGTGGAATCAACTTCTACAGGAACAACTGACATTATAAAACATTCTTTTCTGTTTTATTATTTACATTATCCAGATCAATGAACCTTTTGATATAAACTACACGAAACTAAATAATTGGTACTAGAACTAGTAAAAATATTGTGCTTAATTAAAATAAACATGGCACTTTTATCATAATACTTGTTATATACATAGATTACTCCATAATAGCATTTTTAATACTATTTAAATATGCATGATTCTGAGTATCTAATTGAAATAATTAATAAAAAAGAGGTATAGTTTTATTAGGATATTTTCAAAACGAATTTCATTTAAACTAAAGTACTTTAGTGTATTGACAACTAGCGCAAATGCATTGGAGATCAATGCAATCGTGGTGACAAAATGCTCCACACTGTCGGCATATCACCATCGCTTCTTGAATATTACATTCACATGGAGACGGAGGTTGACTGCCAATGGTCATATCTGGTGTATTAGGCTCACTTTCGCCATTTATATGATAACTTCCGTTATTAGATTTCAGAGAAATTACCTCATGTGATCGTTCACCAGCACTCGCTGGTCGTCCTTTGAATAAATTCACTGCAATCATTGGTGGTGGTAAGGGAGGAGCAGATGATGCCCGGGGAGCTATTTCCATCTCAATTTTTTTTACGAACTTATAACATTCATTTTCTTCAATATCTTCGTCGACCATAGGTTGAACGTTAATTTTTTTAACAATCTGCAATCAAAAAATAAATTCATAATTATATTTCTAGTGATCATCAAACACTTATATTATAATATATTAGGTTAACGATATTTATTTTCTAATTCATGCAAGATGAAAGCTCACAACCTATCAAATAATAAGTTTGCACCTAACGCTTTGAAAATATAAAACAGTTTCAGTGTCTGAAGTTGATATAAATTTAGGAACTTTTAACCTCAATGACTATAAATTATGTTTTCAAAATATGAAAAATTAAATCTAGTTTCAAAATCTATCGTCCGATTGCAGATTGCAACCACTACGATGGCTTTATTTACAAATAACAAAGAAAAAGTGCTTTTCAAAGCCATTTTACCTTGCTTAAAAGCACTATTTTTAACATAACATTTAAAATGATGCTGTAATTCAGTCACTACTACTTACTACTATAAGTCTTAATATTATCCAGATACTTTTTCTCATAAACGTTCGCTTGTTTATTTTCATGGTAACAGAATCTACATGGGTAATTCACAGACAATCAGCTCAGAATCACGGTGAGAGGGATTTTTTTTGAAACTACGCGTAATTTCTATATATATAGAGGTCATCATTTTTTAAAATCTTTATAATAAAATACTATTTAGATCCTATTTTATAAACTTTTTAAAAAATTAATAAAAAGTTTCCGAAAACCTATATTTTCAAACCTAATTATGTTTTTTTTTAATTCTTCCTTATATACATTTCTGAGGGCTTTTTCTATACGTTATAAAATTTAAATGTCCAACATATCGAAACTCATGACACCGATTAAAAGAAGATGCTCTGTCATCCGTCCGAACGCTAGGCCCACTTGACAGGGTACGGCACGGCGGAACATCTTTTGAATCGGAGTATTTGAAAGTTATTTTTATTCAATACAAATTATCCTTCAACTTATATTTAATTTTCCGAAAATTTGCCGTTTTTACATTAAGCTTAAAATAATTAAACGATAATAATACTTTCTCTCTACGCTTAATCAGGCTTCATATCGACGTTGTTTAAATTGCTGCCGCATAAAGAATATTTTATCATTTAATATAAACTCCAATTAATTATATAATAATAATAATAACAATAATAATAATTATTATTATTATTCACAATCACGCACACTATACAGGGGGGAACACTGAACACACAGGTTCGAGGAAGGGGGACCTCACGGGCCGTGCGTTGTTCTAGCGCGGTTCGTGGAGTCGCGACCACGAGGGACCTTTAGTACAACGGGACGAAACAAAAAATATGAATATGCACAAAAAAAAACATAGATATACCTCAAGTGGTAACCCCTTCTCAGGGGGAAACCACTCCGGGTTCCGATCGGGTGAAAGCCCCGATGGTCACGGGCAGCGGCACGGATTTTGAGGGCCGCACTTTGTGCACGGGGATGAGGAGGACGACACGAAACAACGACACGAATCAGAATCTACTGAACTTACCAAGACGGCAGAGATCGGACAGCGTGTCAAGCGGCGGCAGCGGGGTGAGCTACGCCTCTGCCGCTGATAGCCACGAACCAATGATAGGACGAACACCCACAATAACAAACGACACACGAGACGTGACGGAACTGCTGTGGCTCATACAATAGATGGCGACGAAAATGGCCAAAGCAGCAAATGTGCAAAAGAACATGAATATGATAGTGAAGATGGGAATTAAGACAATTCTCGAGACTGTGGACATTGCGCTGCACAAACGATCGGACACAGTTTCGGGAAGACGTGCCTAAGACAACAGCAATATAGACACGACAGCGGAGAATAATGAAGAAACGCCACGGACGAAACGGAAACGTTCGCCGGCCGAAACCACGCCGGAGCCCTCACAAAAGAGGCCACCGACGCGACGGAACCGACCAAGGACTGGCAGACGGTAACACGAAAAAGAATAGAAAAGACAAAAAAGCAAATGGACGCAAAGAATCGGTCTGACAGAGGCGGACCGGTACACCGAAAAAAGGGACTGGCTGTCCTGATCAGGCCGAGCACGGACACGACATACTCCGATATAGTACGGAAAAGACGAATGACGATCGATCCTCGACGAAGGAGAGTCACGTGCAGGTGACAACTTTTCGGAAGACGAAGAACGGCTTATGTCTTCTGAAGCTACAGGTAGACGCAGACAAGCCGGACGGACGCGAGATGTTTGGACGACAGATCCAAGATGCATTCGGGGAAGCGGGCAGTGTCAGGGCCATGACCTCCAAGATCCAATTGGAGATCATGGGTCTAGACTGCATTACGAGACGCGGACGAGAGCAGTATATGGCGGTCTGTGAATTGGAATCGCAGGAAGCCGATGCGTTGCTTCGGTGTGGTCGGATCGGAATTGGCTGGTTGCATTGCCGCGTTCGGAAACGACTGACGGTGACAAAATGTTACAGATGCCTGGGCTTCGGCCATGTGAAAGCTGAATGCACAGGAAAGGACTGGACGAAATGCTGCCGCAAGTGTGGCACATTCGGACACTACGTAACGGAATGTAAAAACAAGCCGGTCTGTCCATTCTGCTCCGAGGCCGGGCACAGGGACGTCGCCTATCTTGCCGGAAGTGGCAGATGTACCGTTTTCCGGGCCGCGCTGGAGGAGTGCAAGGGACGGGCCGGAGGACGGACAGAATAATTCAGAGAAACCTGAATCGAAGTAGGACTGCAGACATGCTCCTATCTCATATAGCCGACGAATATAACGCGGACATCCTGATCCTGAGTGAACCATACACGAGAAAGATGACCCAAACATACATTATAAACGAGACAGGACCACTGCTATCTGGGTAAGGGGTGGTGCCCAATCTATAGTCTCCAATTGCGGTGTCGGGGACGACTATGTCTGGGTCACAGTTGGCGCTGTCACTTATCTCAGCGTCTACCTGTCATCCAATTGCATCACGATGGAGTTCGAAAGAAAGGCGGCACTCATAGAAGACGGGATCAGGGACCTGCCCGGGGATGTCATCGTTGCGGGGATTTTAACGCGAGGGCGACCGAGTGGGGAATGAACGAAATGAATCGATGCGTACGACTACTGCTGGAAATGGTCGCAAAGCTCGATCTAGCAATGGTAAATACGGGACATACACCGACGTACAGACGGCCAGGTGTCGGAGACTCCATCCTCGACGTCACGATGACGTCGGACAGAATTCTGCCACGGCTGAGGGGATGGCGGGTCATCGAAGACTACACAGCCAGCGATCACCCGTACATCGTCTTCGAAGTGGTGGGACGGACGGGAACGAGAACCCACCAACCCCCGCGGTGGAATCTACGTAAACTCGACGGACGAAAATTTTCGGAAGAGCTAATGGCAGCACCGGCTCCAGGGGAGAGAATTCCCCCCGAACTGACGGGCCGGTAAAGAGTGGAAAGATTGACAGACGAGACGACCAAATTCATAGACATCTTGTGCAGAAGTACAATGCAGAAACGTCGAGAGATACAACAAAGACAACCACAATACTGGTGGACAAACAAGATAGCCGAGCTACGCAGGATATGCCTGACAAATTGGCGACGAGTGACAAGGGCAGGAGGCGCACCCGAAAGGGAAAACCTCCAAGCCATATACAAAGCAGCACGGAAGACGCTGACGAAAGCAATACGGGACAGCAGGACGCGATGCTGGAGGATGCTGGACGGATTGTTGACTGATTGTTTCGGACGCAATCGATCAGGACAAACGTGATGGACGACGTGGACGCACAAATGTCCCCCGCTTTTGCCGTTGAGGAGCTCATCAGAGCAACGAATGCGATGAAGACGGGTAAGGCACCGGGACCGAACGGAGTACTGTCCGAGATCCTCCGGCTTGTGGCTCGTCTACGGCCGGAGATACTCCTTGACCTGTACAACACGTGCTTGGCGACAGGAACGTTCAGCGATCGGTGGAAGGTGGCAAGGCTCGTTCTTATCCCAAAAGGTAGGAGCGATCCTAGCACGCCTTCGGTTTACCGACCGTTGAGTTTACTTGACACGACTGGTAAACTCTTTGAACAATTACTGAGACCGAGACTAATAGACGCGATACAGACCGGAGGGGGTTTATCAGACTCAGGTCATAACATTTTTTCAAATGTTTTGGGCATGAAACGGGTGGCAGCAAAATTCATTCCAAAACTACTGAACTTTGACCAAAAAAACAATCGCATGAACATCGCTCAGGAGCTGTTAAACGACGTCAACGACGATCCAAGTTTGCTTGAAAGGGTCATAACTGGTGATGAAACATGGGTGTATGGTTATGATGTCGAAACCAAAGCACAATCGTCCACCTGGAAACATTCAACGTCACCAAGAGCGAAAAAAGCACGTCAAGTTCGATCAAATGTGAAGGTTTTGCTTACAGTTTTCTATGACTGCAGGGGCGTGGTACATCATGAGTTCTTATCACAAGGTCGTACGGTTAATAAGGAGTATTACCTTGAAGTTATGCGACGTTTGCGTGAAGCTATCCGAAAAAAACGCTCCGATTTATGGAAAAACAATTCATGGTTTTTGCATCACGATAACGCACCTGCTCACTCGTCGTTGCTTGTTCGTAATTGTTTGGCCAAAAACAATACCGTAGTCGTGCCCCAACCTCCATATTCACCAGATATGGCTCCGTATGACTTTTTCCTGTTCCCAAAGTTGAAGAGACCCATGAAAGGACGGCGTTTTTCCTCGATTGAAGAAATAAAGGCCGAATCGCTGAGAGCGCTCAAGGACATACCAAAAAGTGAATATCAAGAGTGCTTCGAAGATTGGAAAAAACGCTGGCATAAGTGTATTATATCTGGGGGGATTACTTTGAAGGGGACCACATTGATGTAAACGAATAAATAAATATTTTTTTGGAAAAACGATAATTCCGGGTACTTTTTGAACACACCTCGTATTTCAACTTTATCACGGTCTTTATTACGATAGTATATAAAACTAGTTTTAGACATTGCTTGCAATGTCCATTTATGTACCTTTAACTCATTACTTATAA